ATTTGATGTACAGAATCATCCAAAGTCATAACTTTATTAATCATCATCAAGAAATACGGTTTAGTGAAGAGGTACTCACTGAAAAGAAAACCTTCAATTATCATCACATTCATTGTCGCTGAGGAGAGAAATAGCAGCTGGCACAAACAGTTTCTACAACCAATCAGATTAGATGTCCCTGCTTTCTGATCCAGGGCTTTGTACAAGGTGTGCACTCGTGTGAAAAAAAAAAAAAAGAGGTATACAAGACTTTGCCTGATGCATTAGCACAGCTGAATGAGACTATCTTGTTGAGCTCCCTTCATTTAAGGGCAATCTTATTTACAATGACCACTTGTCTTTCTTGATAAACAATGCTAAAAGAGTGCTGCTGTTTCATCTGTGTTAAGGCCCGTCATGTAGAGTCCCCAGATGTCCCTCAGATGTCCCACTGGGATCTAGTCAGTCTATCTAAAGTCCTTCCCTTTAAGAAGATCAGCTCATTCTCACCAGCAATAATCAGCTGCAATAATTCTTCAACTAAGATTGGAGCCGGCTGTTCATTTTCACAGTTCTGTGCTGGATTTTTGTCTAAGTTTGTGTAGGTCTTATGTATGCTGACACCATTGCTGTAGGTTTGTATAAGAGTCCCAGGAGCCTGTAGGACTATTTACACATGGTCAAGCACTTCCTCCCTGGCTCTTACAATCTTTCTGTGCCCTCTTCCACAATGATCCCTGAGCCCTGGGTGGGTGGATTTTAATACAGGAGTCCTGTCAAAGGACCCACACTCTGCAGACTCTTTTCTCTGCTTTTGGCCATTTGTGACCTTTTGCATTCCTGGTCCTCTGTTGCATGAGGGAGCTTTTTAATGTGAATTAAAAGATGCATTAGTGTTCTCTTCATCCCTTGCTCTGTATTCTGTAAGCCTTATGTGCAGAGGTTACATCTTAGATGTGACACTTACATTTGGGCTATTCACATACAATATGACCAGTTGTGGAATTCTATAACCATCTCTGTCTCTTCAAAAAGAAGCTTCTTTGATGGGTGGTGACTGGATACTTGTATATTTGCCTAAGTATGTGACAGTCTTGGAATTTTCTCTAAAATCTATGAACTCTCCAGCAATATGTATTTGGCTAGGTTTATAGTACCACATATTAGTTTCCTCCCATTGAATGGGCTTTAAGTCCAATTAGGTAGCTGTTGATTCCCGTCAAAATAAAAGTTCCACTCTTATGCAGATATTGTTTGCTGTGATTGATGTGGATTTTAGGCCCTGAAGCTGAGGTTTGACCATCAATTGATGTTCTCCCTTAACAACTTGCATGGTTTTGGTGCATTCCAAAGCTATGAGAGCTAGCCTTCAAGGGTCAGTTCCTGCTAGGCTTCCAGGTCAGTTCCCGCTCCATTGCTCCACATCCTGTGTCCAAAGTATGTCCTGTCTCTAGCAATAGGGTCTTACCATTAAGTTCTTGTAGGTAATCAAGGACTTTGGAAATAGCCTGTGTAATTTTGGGAGTCTCTTTGACTATACTGGCCAACATATCCAAGAAAGGTTTTTCTTGTCTGGCACTATTTCTTGTTATGTAGCGTCAGCTATACTCAAGGACTCATGTAGAGATATTGTATGTTTAGTAGGTTTTTGGACTAATACCATTCCCTCTAGTTTTTTTATACTAGCTAGTAAACTAGTACTAGTGACACTTTACCAAAATTGGAAAGTGGTAGAAATTTCAAATTATTTTTCTTTAATTTAAAATGAAATTATTAACTGCAACAAAAATGTGTATTCACTCACTTAAGAATATCTTATCTTCCCTCATCTCACAGTAATCAGTTCCCAACAATTCCTCAGTGTGGTTGTTTGAATGAGAATGTCCCCCATAGGCTCCAAGTATTTGGACATTTTGTCCCCTGTTGGTGGTGCTGTTTTGGAATGTGTGGCCATCCTAGAAGAAGCAGGTCACTGGAGGTAGTCTCAGAGACTTCTTAAGCCTTTCCTGATCTCAAGTCACTCTCTTGTTTTCTGTGCCTGCTTGAAAATGTGAGTACTATGCTTTCTGCTCCTGTCCCAGTCACCTCCTGCCATGCCTCTCCGCCATGACAGGCTGTAATTCCCCTGGAACAGTAAGCTCAAACAAACTCTTTCTTCTATAAGTTTCTTGGGTTAATGTTTCTAACACAGTAACAGATATATAAATAATGCATTCAGCTAAGATCAGGTCCTGCCACCCATTTCCCCAGTTCTATGCTGGGTTTTTTTCAGATTGAGTCTAGTGGGTCTTGTGCATGTTGTCACCATTGTTGCAAGCTCATGTGTGCAAGTTCCCAGAGGTCTGAAAATCTCTGTTTCCTTATGTTCACGCACCAACCTTGGCTCTTACAATCTTTCTTCCTCTTCTGTGGCAATACTCCTTGAGCCATCAGTGGATGAGGTTTAATATAGGTGTTCCACCTAGCAAAACACACACACACACATACACAACACACACACACACACACACACACTGCAGTCTCTTATTCTCTAAAACTTGGTCAGTTGTGGACTACTATGTGCACCATGTTCTGTTGTATGAAGAAGCTTTGCTGGTGAGAGTTGAGGGAGTATTAGTATTCTCTCTACCCCCTGTTTTGCTGTGTTCCATGATCCTTAGGTGTAGAGTTTTCACTGTAGATGTGTAACTGAGGGCTGAGCATCATTCTGTTATATAATCTCTGTGTGTGGCTAGTTGTGAATAGTAGCCTCCCTCTGTTGCAGAAAATGCTTCTTTGATGAATGGTATAGGGTAAATTTTTGGTAAATAGAAGGACCCATATTTAGCATACAGTGCAGAATTTCATTTTTGTAGAGATATGACAGAGATAGGGTTTTCATTAAGTCTGTGACCTTTCCAACCATGTGTATTTGGATATATTTACAGTGTAACCCATGAGTTCCCTCCAATTGAGAAGGCTTTAAGTTCAATTAAAAAGTTGTTGATTAGGGGTTGGAAAGATGACTCAGTGGAGTGGTCAAGAGCACTGACTGCTCTTGCAGAGGACCCTGATTAGATTCCCAGCCCTGACATTGCTGCTAACAACCATCCTTTACTCCAGTTCCAGGGAATCTGATGCTGTCTTCTGACTTCCATGGGCATTGCATGATGTGGGTGCACTCACATACTTGCAGGCAATACACTCATACACCTAAAATAAAAGTAATTGGACTAATTAAATACTTGTTGATTATCTTTTAGATAAAGTGCCACTACTGTACCAATATAGTTTGTTATGCCAGTCATAGTTATTAGGTTTTACAGCAGTGTTGGACCACTTATTGATTTTCTGCCTTAGCAGTTTGAATAGTGTGCTCTAGAATTATAGAGCTACTGTTCAGAATGATCTCTAGGTCAGTTTCAGCTCCACTGTTACAAGTCCTACATATAATGTATGTTCTGTCTTAAGCAACAGGGTCTTACCTGCAAGTTCTGGGAGGTAATCAGGATTATGGCAGTAGACTGTATTATTTTGGGATTCTCTTAGACTACCCTTGCCCAACTACTCAAAGGGAGGTTTCTCCTGTCTGGTACTGTGTTTCTTGTTATGTAGCCTTCATATATTGTATATGTATTTTTCAAGGGTTTTTTAGTTAATACATTTCCCTCTGGCTTTTCGCACAACCTAAGCTTTATTTATCTATGCTCTTTCTCTCCCTGTCTAATCTCTTTCTTCCCCACCCCCATTAAAGTACCCCCATTTTCCACTTGATAATGCTTGTCTTCTATTATCACCCCTAGTCTTGAGTTCTTTCTTCCCCTTTGGCCCATGGTTTTCTGCATGTCTTCCTCTCCCCTCTTCCCAGTTGAATACCCTTATTTCCCCCTTGATAACAACTGTTTCCTACTATCCCCTTTCTTTGGCTCTTTCTTTCCAGTTCCATTATCCTGGCTCTTTCTGTTACATCTGCATGTATATTCAAGTATAAGGGATTGGTGCTAAGATTCACAAATGAGAGAGAATATATAGCATTTGTTTTTCTGTGTCTGTGTTGCTTCTCTCACTATAAGAGTTTCTAGTTCTATTTATCTACTAATTTCATAATTTTGCCTTTCCTTACCAAAAAGTAGAACTCCATTATGAAAATATTTTCATTATCTATTACTCAGTTGAGGGGCATTTAGGTTGTTTCCATTTCTTAGCTATTGTGAAAAGAGCAGCAACAAACATGTATAGATCTCTACAGTAGAATGAGTCCTTTGGATATATGCCAAAGAGTAAATAACCAAATCATATGTAAATTAATTTCTTCTGGGTACAAATGTTTAACTGGATAGGCCGTATAACAGTTTCTAGTTCCATCCATTTACCTTCAAATTTCATGATTTCATCTTTCTTTACTGCTGAGAAAAACTCCATTGTAAAAATGAACCACATTTTTATTAACGATTTCTCAGTTGAGGGGCATTTAGGTTGTTTCCATTTCTTAGCTATTGTGAAAAGAGCAGCAACAAACATGTATAGATCTCTACAGTAGAATGAGTCCTTTGGATATATGCCAAAGAGTAAATAACCAAATCATATGTAAATTAATTTCTTCTGGGTACAAATGTTTAACTGGATAGGCCTTCAAATACATATATGACAGAACACATGAAATCAGGTGCGGGTGGCCATAGAGAGGTGCTAAGGCAGGAGGGGGGGCTAAATTTGATTATGATCTATTATATGAAATGCACAAAAAGTGAATAAAAAGTATACATTAAAATATGTGTTCATTGGACAACAAAATAATTCTCTTCTGATGGTGCTTTGCTTGGGTCATAGAATTTAAACTTCATCACCCTTAAAGCACAACTTGTTTGAATATTTTGTTTATTATTATCTTTAATTATCATCAATAAATCTTTATTTAAGGGATTCCACAAGTGATTCAGTTTCCACCAAGGTTGCTGAAGTTCAAGATTTCTCAAGATAATCCAAAAAAGGCAGACCATTAGTTAAACTTGTGAAACTCAGTATTGATGATGCAGGGAACTGGATGTCTCTCCTCAGAAAACACAGCACTATGAAGTGACTCTGTCATTCTGTGGAGAGCACCAATCTTTGGTCACAACACTAAGAATGTGCAGTTTTCAGTCCCACAAACTCTCTTTGAAATGACCTAGAGTATTTGATAACTTAATTCCATCTTTCATTTCATCATTATGGCCTGGTTGAGCGTGTATCCAAAAAGTCCTCCTGAATTCCGTCATCTGTTTGCTCAACAACATTCATTCATTTTCTTTCTTAGTCAAAGAGTGTTTAAGCTACAGAGCAGAAATGGGCCAGGTAAGAAAGTTTGCTCTGTTATTAATGAACGAATGAAGAAAGCAGTGAGATGAGACTGATAAATTTCCACATTAGACTCATCTTTACTTATGAGTCTGTGAGTCAGTGAATATGGTAGAATTTCCAAGTTTCCTCTTCATTATAACTGTACATGCTGAATTGTGTAAAGTCTTGGGAATTTATGAATATGAACTTCCTTGTTCAAAGATAAACTTTCACTGTAGTAACAATTCTAAGCTAGGCTTTCCACACGCTGTATTGAATTGTGGCAGCAAAACTTTTTGAGCTTGTCCCCCTTGGTTTTCATGGACCTGGGCTTGCACATCTGGTTGGATCAATTGCCTGACAGAAGGTGTTTAAAAGACTACACTTCAGAGACAATTGGACCAATGTGTGGTTCATGAATATTGATAATCTTTCAAGAATATATTTTCATTTTCATTCAAGTCAATCTTTTTTCAAAGAACACACCTACCTTCAGTTTTATAGAAAACTCCTGTAATAGTTATTAGAATTAACTGAAAATGATTATGGTTACATTTTCAAACATTTCTTAGAAATAATGATACAGCATATATTTAGTACACACAAGCACTGTTTCAGTGATACATACCTACCTATTTAAATGATCATGGTGATTTGTGCAATGGTGTAATGCATTTGCTGTATGAATATTAAGTTATTTAACGTGTTTTTTCTTTGTTTCGTTCTAGTGATTCTAAAGAATGCAATACATTCTATTTGTACTGTACTTCTGAGTTTCCAAAGGCCTTTTGTATATATTAGTTTACTTGAAGCTAGCAACAATGTTTTTGAGTAAGGATATAATTATTAGTGCTATTAATGAGGAACCAAAGCCAGGCACAGAAAATGAAAATGGGCAAGGGCATCCAGTGTAGGGGCTGAACAGAATTTCAGGACACATCATGATTTTAAACTTAGTAATTTTCCTTTGACAATTATCAAAATACTTAGCACTGCAGAGGCTCAGGAATAGAAGTCCTAAGTGTGAGACCATCCTTGGATACATAGCAATACAAAGTGTCAAAAAATAATATTAGAATAAAAATTCTCTTAGTTTATAAAGCATTTGTCTCTTTGCTTTCAGATGAATTTTCAATTTGATTTTGAAAGGTATGATGGCTTTTGAATGGAAATTATGCCTCTCTGTGAGACTATAAGTCTTTCCACATGGAATTCTATTCCAAAGCACGTAAGCTTCAGAGACATTCTAAAGGAAGACTAATATACACAGATTTTATTTCTAGGCTCGCTCTGGCACTCAGAAATTAGTTAACTCAGTCACCTACATCCTCTAAGTCTAGGTTCTTCATCTATATCACACACTGTTTGTATTTTGTGAGGCTGTTACATCCTCCACCTGTCTGTACCAAAATCTCTGACTTGACCTATCCCAGCACTCAGAGTCAGAGGTAGGTGGTTTTCTGTGAGTTCAAGGCCAGCCTGGTCTACATAGTGAGTTCCAGGACAACTGGGTCTACAGGGAGACCCTGTTTCAAAAAGAACCCCCACAAAAAGGATAAATGTCCATTTGTTTGAACTGCATTTTAAAGTCATTTTCTGACCAAATTGAGCCTATTACTCATGAAAACAAATTTAATAAAGTTTGAATAAAAACATTACAGCATAATTAATTTAATGATAGAGTACATTTGTGATTCTGTGAATGCTTACCTATTTATTGGCTTTTGGTTACAGTAGAACCTAAGCTATTGATCCTTTGGACTAAGGAAATTGATCAGTGGTTAAAAACAAGAGCCTAAAATGTGCAAGGCTATAGGTTTTAGTCTCAGTAACACAGAGAGAAATTAATCTTTTAATATTAATAAATTAATATCCACAATCCATAACCTTCACATGACAATACTTCTTGTAACCAACAATCTACTCTGGACAGAATTAACTTCCAAAATAAATGTCTTACTGTCTGTCATTGATTGATAGGTTCTCCTTATTCATATGAATCAATAATAAACCACTAAACTGATTTGGTATTTCTTAGAAATTGCTATCTGATTAACTCCTCTTCTGGTACTGTTTATTTAGGAATTTGAATAATGGGATTATATTCTTAGTTTATGAGGTACATAATTCTGGATCTGAATAAGGAACAAAAAATGGAAGAAATACAGCTCCTGGTGATTCCCCCAAAATATTTTTGAGAAACATTATTCCCAAGATGTATTTTGAAGTCAAATCATTTTGGAAAATGTTGACTTTCACCAGGGATGCACCTGCCACCATATTTTTGTTCCCCAGCTGCAAGAATGGAGAAACAGGGTAGTACAGTTCTCATTTCAGAAACAGAACCTGCATTGTCTATGCTGTTCTCTTCTGCAGAGTATATTTTGCAGTTCAATAAAGTCATGAAGGAACACTTAAAAATAATGAAGAATAATTAACTTAAAGTTATTCTAATAACATCTCTATTTATTTTCATTAATTTCCATTCTTTTTACTTCTCCTTTAAAATGCACTATACTTTTAGACAGAATTTTAAAAGAAGCTGTATTTTCAGTCTCTGAGTTTGGTGCATGTGTTTGCAATATCAAGATGTTACAAGACTGATGACTGGAACATTGTGAAGTCAGAGATGTAGCAGATTCCATGAAACTTATTAAGGTGTGTGATTTTGAAGGCTGGGGGAGGTCACAGGAGGGTTTACAACAAAACTATGATATCATTTCTTCCCATTTTGAAAATATTGCTGTGGCAGCTGTTTGAATAGATGACAGTGAATCTACTTCTTTTTGAGATCCACATTATCTGAAACACATTTGTGAGGCAAGATGGATTTGCACTCTATGCACAGATTTGCTTGAAGATTAAAAGAGGTAAGAACTATGAGTACCTGACAACATTGCCTGAAAAATCAATCTTAAAAACTAGTATGCAATGGATATTTTTAAAATAATTTTGTGTATATATGAAAAATTTATACCTGTTTAATTTGTTATAGAATCTCAATTTCCAAACTCTAGTGGAATCTTGAAGTTGTCCAACAATCAAATAATACTTCCTGCTTAAAATTTTACGTTTTTATTTTTATTTTATGTGTATGGATGCTTTGCCAGCATGTGTGTAAGTTCACCAGTGTCATGCAGTTCCTGCAAAGGTCAGAAGAGGGAAAAGATCCACAGAAATTGGAGTCATGGATGGTTGTTAGCTGTGATATAGGTACTGGGAACTGAACCTGGGTCCTCTGCAACATCAACCATTGCTCTTAACCACTGAATCATCTCTCTAGCCCGAAAATAATACATCTATATCATTCCTACTCTTTCTTATTCTCAGCCACTTGCTTTTTCTTCTTAAAATATTTCCCAGGACTGGAAAGATAGCTCAGCGGCTAAGAGCACTGTCTGTGGTTAACTGCTCTTCCAGAGGACCTGAGTTTGATTCTCAGCACCTACATGGTGGCTAACAACCATCCATAACTCCAGTTCCAGAGGATCCAACGCTCTCTTCTGACCTTCATGGGCACTGCACAACATTGTGTATTTTATACACAGGTAGGAAACACATTCATTCACTTTTTTTTTTTTTTAATGTCTTTTTGAGACAGGGTCTCCCTGCTGTCCCGGAACTCACTATGCAGACCAGGCTGGCCTTGAACTCACAAAAATCCACTTGCCCCTGCCTCCCAAGTGCTGGGATTTAAGGTGTGTGCCACCATGCCTGGCATTCGTTCACATTAAAAAATAATAATTAATAATTAATAATAATAATAGTAATAATAATAAAGTTTGCTTTTTCTTCAATGAAAGCCTTACCAGATATTCCTCAGGGAAAAAGGATTGTAATAATTGTCAACTCTTTAAACACTGACTTTGCTAGTCAATATTTGAGACCATTTTGACTAGCAAACATTTGTAAGAACTCTTTCTTACAAGCTGTAAATTGAGTTCTATTTTTTTTTATTGGCAATTAATGAGGAATTGGCACACAGAAAAGGATAAGTAATTTTCTCAGACTCACTTAGAAGTAAGGCAAGGGATTGAATTTAGGATCAGAGAGTGCAGGGTTCTACTATAATACTATTCCTTTCTCTGTTCAGACTTGAAGATCTGTCAGCATCCTTACTTTCTACAGGGTTCCTGTTCCCAGTGAAGTCAGATCCCTCCTCCCACCAGGCATTTTCATGGTCCTTGGTTCCTCCATTTTTCATCCCGTTTCTTTATCCTCTCTGTTCTGCTGGCTCATACCATGAATATTCAAGCGTGTTTTCATACCTCACATATTTGAAAATCTTTCCCATAGGAACCTCTTCTTCTCAAGCTAAATCCTAACATATCCATCAGTTTACAATATCTGCTTTTTTTACTTCTGTTCTTTTTAAATGAGTTTTCAATTTCCTAACCGACAGTAAATACATTCATACTGTATCACAGGACAAAGTCTGGGCTCTTTGTGTACCATATTCTACCTCATTCATCTTTCTAAAGGGAGACTTTTCTAACAGTATGCAGTACATCTCCAAAGACATAGAGTCAGAAATAACAGAGATAGCTAGTTGAAAATATTTATGGTTACGCAGGCTCATGCTAATTCACACGCACCTACTTACTTGGCAGCATCAGTCCCTGAAGAATACATTTAATAAACAAAAACATACATCTATTCACTTGTATCATGTTTTAAAAATTGTTTTTACTATTTCTTATTCATTAAATTTTTAATATGAACCTAAGGATTAAGTTGTGGTTTTCCAAGAAAAAATCAAATTGTGATTTTTATTTTGAGTGCATTTAATTGAAATTACAGAGACATTTTATGAACACTTAAACATCTGACAGTACTGACTATTTGCGTGC